TTCCGTGAACAAAAAGTCAATAATAAAATAAAAATTTATACGCTTTCTGGAAGTATACGAAGCCGTATCAAAACGATAACAGCTTGCAACCGTATTTGACTCGTTAAGATCAGTCGTTATCATAAGAAAAAACTGCGAAGACCCGGCGGTCAGTTCGCTTGATTACATCCACCGGGAATCGCTATAAAATGTATCTGCACAGATCGTGAGGTCATTGACCCCTTCATATATCCCTAATGTACTCATGATCATTTGGTACAGTCGAGTTCGATATTTTAAATGACTCAAACGTAGAATAAAAAGAAGAAAAAAAATTGCATGCAATAATAATAGAGATATTATCTACATAATACCTTAATCTATACTAATGTTATAAAGAGGAAAGATTTGTATTTTTGTATGTAATTAAATAAATCAAAACTACGGGGCCCATTTCAAAAATACTTTCACCATTAAAAAGCTACTTTATCGGTGAGTAACTTAGGCTATGTTTTTAATGTTTCAATTTCACGCAGGCGAAGTCGCAAGCGACAGCTAGAAAAGTATAATTTGAAACAATAATTAGTTACACATTTTTAAATAAAGAATTAGTAACATTTATTTAAAAAATAATTAAACCATGCAACAGTTTTTAAAGGTTACGACTGTGACGTAACAATTTTAAACGCCATTTAGATAATAGGCATGTAAAAGTTTCGAAAGTAAATGGAATTCTAAAAATCTAGGTCTTCTAGCTTATTGTTTTTAATTATATAATGTTGCTATTGTTATTTTAACAATTTGTTGCTTGCCACTATATATATTTGGTTAGAACATTTGTTTTTGTGACTGAGTGGCCACTGTTTGCCTGGAAGAGGCATTTACAGATTCACCGGACTTGAGGTGGTCGAGCGCAGATGGCGTTTAGCCTAAACCTCGTTTATGAGTAACTAAGCTCGAGGGCTCCCTCAGGAGTCTCGGCACGAGCCATTACTATTACCGGATTGAAGGCCACCGATCTCTTAGATCGCTTCGGTGGATGCTCCATGGAGTGACCAGGTAGAAGGGTCCCCGAGAGGGGACCTCGGCTTGGGCTGTCACTCAATACGAGTTTAGCATTCCGATTCAACGGGCCGAACCTAAGTAAGAACATGTTTTTAATAAGCAATATATTTCATTTGTTTACGACAAAAAATTGCATTACATTCATGAACATTTACTTAATCTGAAAGCAATGGATTTTTTATATTTCTATAGGACTTAGGTCCTTTTTTAATAGAGAAATCAAAATTTAGTTCGTTACGTCACAAAGTAAACTTCAATGTTGGCTGTTGAACAAAACTCATACATAAATAAACGATTGACACTTAATTAACTCCTGACTAAGAACACGACCTGATTTCTAGTGTCCTGGCATTTTCCACACGCTTGGAGAAATCTGCGACTTTAACGAGGCTTTCTATTCTTTCGTCAATTTATAAGGAAAAACTACAGACTAATTTCAATTTTAAAAGATTTTGTTAGATCGTAATGACAAAGGACAATGCTCTGCGATATGGAACGATACTCTATCTGTCTATTAATTGCCAGTTGCCCAGAAACGTTTAAACATTTGTTAGTGTTCTTGGTTTGATAAATTCTTGAAATGTGTTTCCGAACTAATAACTTGAGTTTTACTCCTTTGAAATTTAGATTAACCTAGCACTAATGAATGACTTGGTATTCTATACTATTCTATACTAGTATTATAAAGAGGAAAGATTTGTATTTTTGTATATATTTAAATAACTCAAAAACTACTTGGCCGATTTCAAAAATTATTTCACGATTAGAAAGGTAATTTATCTGTGAGTATCTTTTATTATTTTTTTAGTTTCACGCGGGTGAAGTCGCGAGTAACAGCTAGTGATAAAATAAATAAAAACTTCAGCGACCTAGCATTAGAGCTTCGCTTATACACGGTTAAGTTAAAGCTAGTAATACTGGCAGGATCATTATCAGGGATATAATTGGCGACAACGGTGTACCATCACTTAACTGTCGGCGCGTTACGAGCTCCACTGCCCTACTCTCATGGCAAAAGTATATTTTTATCATCCATTTCAGGTTATGGTATCGTAAAAATATGGTTCCAAAATGAATTGGATGAATACAGTTACGTGTACCTTTAATTCTCATGTTTACGACTTGCCTTTTAAATATAAATATAATTGAAACAATTTTTTATAGACTTGATTCTTGAAATTTAAACGATGACTGAAAATAACAATCATACTTATTTCTTAAGTACTTATTTTAAGACTTTATTGGCTTCTAATTTGTGAGTTTTTCTACTATCTTTATATTTCGATTCGGACGAAAATAGTTACATCTTATATTGTATTTGGGATCTCCAAATGTAACTATTCATCGGGTGGTCGATTTTTGCAATATAAACTGTTGGATTTATTGCTGAATGCATCGTTGCAAAAGTTGAATCGTAATGTTTGTCCAATCCAAGTTGTAACGATTGCCGACTTTTATTTCTATCGACCGGTTGGTTGCTGCGAAAAAAACCAGTCACGCTGTCTCTTTCGAGTTTTCGATCGGCCGGTTCCGTTTAAGCGAAGACTTAAAACTGGTGACGAACTGGACCGGTCCTGTATTGGTCTCAGCCATTTAAGACTAGTCTGGACGAGGGTGCGATCTATATATAGAACTAGGTTCTGCTACCTTGTTATTTATAGACCTTTGACTATTCATTGAATTCTGATACTCGGACTGTTACATTGTTCAAGTAGTTTCTGCAAAATACCGTTTTATGTATACCTTTTTATGGTTAAATTTATAGTATGATGGACATTATTTATTTACAGTATGAAGTATTTTTTTTTGCTTTTTTCATTGGCTATTTAATCAATGTCGACTGTGGCGGGAGTGAGTGGGGTTGTATTTGAAAGTTATTTATTAAGTGTGTCGCTTTGACGATGTTTACAGTCTAAATGTAACGTTATTTGCTCTCCAAATGGCTTGTGTCAAATTTTGTTCAATGTTTCCATGTCTCAGTCTAATAGTTATTATTACCACGTCCCATTAGCCTTTGCTCTTACGAGTTTCTTTTGTCTTGTAACATCAACACACCTTTGTTCGTGATGCGTTTGAATGTGTAAAAGTTGTAAATATTATCTGAAACGATAAGAAAAGGACCGGATGTGTTTAAAAAAATGCGTATAGGTTCCTGTGAGAATCTTTGTTTCGAGCGGCGATTTCGATGTGGAAGTTATTTACAATAAAATCACCTGTCTCCGGCATTCGTTTGTTTAATTTGCATAAATTTAATACGACCATTTAATACTGGCCGTCCTTGTGATTATGTATTTAAATAATTGGAGACCTTAGAACATACTAAGTACTTTTTGATAACTTTAAGACCTAGAATTATCGTCATGAAATATTTTTATCTAATTCTTTTTCAAGATAAAAGGTGTTACTCTAATGCTGGTTTCCAAGTTTCCATTTATCGGTGCATAGTAATTAGTGTTAAGTTGACCTAAGTTTTAACGGAGTAAATCTCAAGTTACGGAGATCCGAAACGCATTTAATTGAGTCATAGAATTAAAACACTAACACAGTCAAATCTAGCTAGGAAACCGGTCATAAGTCCTCATGTCTGTTTGATCATCGATTAACATTATAACTGAATAAACAATAAAAACTAAGTATGCTCCCAGATTATGAAAAAGCATCAATCGCTCTAATCAATCATCAACATTTTGCTTTACTATTGCAATTATTGGTTTTGAATTTAATTATTGTTCTAAACATTAATTCAAAAACTTTGATATAAATCGATTATTGGTTTCGGAAATATCAACATTACGGAATCACCACCTGAGGCATCTACGATTTGTTATGCATAATAATGTTATATTTTGGTAATACGAAACAATCTTATTTTCATATGCCTAAAAGTCTTTAAGAAATTACTATAAACACGTAAAACAGATTAACAAGTCGTGTTAGGAAAAATAGCAACGGCGACAATGAAAAAGTATTAAGAGCAGATTTCCAGAAGGGACGATCTAGAGACACATAAAAAATACACAAAATTGAAATTAAATTTGTCAAGGAAAAATAACATATTAAAACTAAATAGGTACCTTTAGTCAGTTTCATTTGTCTTGATCATGGACTACCGATTTTCTACCAACAAAGTATTTAATAAAACGTATTTTGATTAGATATTTTTTTATTAATGTAACGCGAATCGGGTTTAACTTTTTTTTTTTGGATGCGAATAAATAAAATACATGCTTACAAAACTTTTTTTAATGTAACTTTAAAATCATATCAAAATAATTAATGCCAAAAAATACTACGGAAAAAGTTGCTAACTCAGTTTAATGTTTATTTATAAAGGGGAAATTATGGGTTTTCCTATGTGTTGAAATAACTCAAAAACTATTTGACCGATTTAAAAATATCTTTCACTGTTAAAAATCTATGTTATATTACTACTTTTAAATTTAACGCAGACTAAGTCGTATGCAACATGCTAGTATTACAAAAATATACTTAACAGCTAGTTAAGTATATTTTTGCAAACTTGTACCTTATATTTATCGGTCAAGATAGCAAACATTTATTCGCGTGTGAATTGAACATAAGGTAACTGGTTTTCATTTTCTTGTGTCTAACAAGCCAGGCTTCCTATTTTAAGTCGGTTAAGACAGGTGCGGTTAAGGAATTAATTTTTAAATAGTTTTCACAATAAAATGGAAGTATGTAATAAAATTTATAGCACACAAAGGGTTAAGAGGGTTAAAGAAATTTAAATCACCAAATACGTTGAAAAACAGATGTAAAATAACTTACAAACTTGCAGTACTTTGTAAAACAATAGCAAAATACTGTAGCATGGTAAGTCATCAACAAGCTCGTATATCAAAAAAGACTAACTTAAAAAACCGGCTCCGCATTGTAAGAGTAACATTTATGTATCGAATATAAAAGAAATCTTGTTTTCTGTCATACAAAAATACCTTAATTGAGATCAGTATACAGTCTTAAGATCACAAATATCACTGCATTATATTTTTTATGTCCAACTTTTTGTCCGTCCGAAACTAAGACGATACACTAACGTATATTCAGTACCACCCTCGATAAGGCTAAAAGCATAACTGAAGAGCCTGCCGAGCTGCCTGTTGCAACTTGCCTCAGGTACAATTTTCCCGTCGATATTAACCGACCACAATTAGATGCCGTATCTATCAGTGTTGCAACTTACTAGATAATGACTATTTCACGTCACAGTATTATAACGAAACGAACATTGTATCGCATTGTACACTACGGAAGAGAGAGATGAATAAACTTGAAGCCTTTACAAAGACTTAACTTTAAAATGTTAGTTTGAGTGTTTAAGTTAACATTATTATTAATTCAAGTATTTTTCTAACATGAACTGTGATTATAGCGTAGTTGAATAAAGATTTTAATGTTATGTTAAAATTGTGTTTTACTTCGGAGAAAAATTAAAGTTTTATTTGTATTTGTGACGTCACCGTGAATATCGGCAGTGCGGTGTTTATTGCCATCTCACTCTAACACTCTATTCCCATAGAGGCGATATTCAAGGATACAGTGCACTCCTCAGTTCACTGCTCCCACTGCGCCTAGCGCGGAAGCCTTACGCCAACTTAGGATAAGATCGGTCACTTTTCGGACAAACATTTAAACCGTTCTTGAAATATGCAGAGTTTGTAACCACTTTACAGAGCTCTGGCTATTACTGTAGACACCAAAAATAATTAGTACAACTTTAAAAGTAAAAATTTATCCCAAAGAATTAACTAATTTAATCGCTACCTTTTTGATTTTTAACTTTTATTTGAAGCCAAACATTTAGATATTTAAAACATAAAGCTTCGACATTTGAGTAATTTATTAGGAACTAGTTTATCGCCGCGACTCCGTCCGCGTGGAATTAAAAAAACAAAATAAATATCCTTTGCATCCTTCCAGACTATCCTCTACATCGATGCTAAATTTCATAGAGATACATTCAGTCGTTTAGGCTACAAACTCTAACAAACATCCATCCATCCATCCAAACTTTTGCATTTATAATATTCGTAAGATAAGAAGTAAGAAGTAAGATTGAAAATGTATGTAGTACTTATAATTTTGACGTTGAGTATTATTATTGTAAATGTTTTTAAAAGTCTAAATGATCTCGAATCGACTTCAAATCGCCGATTGCTACTTCTTATGTCCGACTTCGACTTTTTACATTGACAGCTGATGTTATTAACGTGTCGGTGCAATTTATTTTTATGATCAGTGTAAATGTTTGATCTTCACTGGTTCGAAATAGGTAACCGTTTATGGTAGCTAATGAGATGTTGCTAAATAAAAGCAAGTAAACTTAAATCGAGATTCAGTTTTTTTTTTTCATCTTACGGCCGGATAGTTTAACAAACATTCTCAAGGCCGATCTCAAGTTATTTTGTTTTGAAACAGGGTTTTAGTGAATGAAAACAATTTAAATTAAAACATACCTGGTCTTCGTCTCGATAGTCCAGTATATCGCTTCTGGAATATGAGAACATTTTGTTATTTTAATTATCAGTTGCTATCTGTCAATGTTAAATTTAGCTTTTTATTACAATAAATATTTGTACCAAAAATGACAATGGAAAAGAAATTTATCATTGTTCATTAAATTTCTGACAAATTATCGGTCGTTTTAGTATGCGTGATGTTTATCTCTTTATCAAATCGTTTTATTACTATTGTATAGAGGTTTAAACAAATGAACTACGCTAATGAAGCCAAAATATTAATTTCGATTAGATATACAGCATGTACTATGTTTAATGTTGTTTTTATAAGCAAATGTAACATTTCTAATACAGACCGTCATAATGTGACTATTATATTAATTTAGAATTAGATAAAATTTATCTTGATTGAAATATGCATAAGAAAACTTAATTGATATTACCTGCAAGGCAGTTTCTTTATGACTGGTATTTGAGCAGTGCTGTCGTGTATGCGAACTTGTGTTGGATCAATTTCTTCGCAATCGTCGTCTTCAAATGCCATATGCCCAGTCCTTCTTGCTAATATAGAGTCCATAAAAGGACTATAAATCTGTCCAGATGTGCCTAATATATCATCGATGTCAGTAAAACGTGATATGAATTTTTCAGAATATTTCTGATAAGCAGCCTGATTGGAATTTTTTCTAAAATACTGGTAATTTTCATAAGGAGAAATACGGCCACGAAACATTTCATTGCCAGGAGTTTCTAAACCTTCAGGGCTTTTTCTGACTCCTAATGGTTCTTCGTCGGGTAGGTGTAATGGAAACGGAGGCAATTCTGAAGCCATATACAGGTTACCGTCTTCAGAGTCTGAACTATCACTACCATGTTCGGGTGTAGGTGGTGGTAATTTTTCGATACCTTCTGGAATGTTTTTCGTGCTACTTAACCACCAAGGACGTTCACCTGATTCTACATGACGTATACGTCTCAGAGGGAAATTTCTTATCTCTGAATTGGATCTACTCAAGCTAGATTGGTTATCTGCTAAATTGATTTGAGAACAACTACCACTATTTGACATTCGCCAATCTTTTCTTTCATCCGAATCATTGCTCTTAGTTTTTAAAAATGAACCTTTATCACTTTTATCACTGTCGCTCGACGATTTTCTAGGAGGTGTCAGACGTTGAATACCTTCAGGTATATTAGCGCTGCTATCTAACCACCATGGCTTCTCATCATCGCATAATAAGTACTTTTTCAAAGGTTTCATGGATTCGACGCTTTCAGTTACATTCAATTGAGGAATTTGCTTCTCGTTTTGAAGTTCTTTACTAGACTCAATTTGTCGTACCATTTCTCGTTGTTGTTTAAACGATTCCACATCATCTGAATCTAGCCACCACTTTCTATCTTGGGATTCAATTGGGCGAATAGATTTTAATTTTACTAAACCATCATCATTTGAAGCTATTATGTTTTCAGAATTATTTTTACTTTTACTTATTATATTATTGTCTGATATGAAACTTGTTCTATCGTTACGTACGTTTTCAAAAGATTCTTGGTGCTTAAGTTTAAAAAGATTTGTAACAGGAGCCAAAGCTCTTATTAAAAACGACTTTGCTTCTTCAGTTCCTCCGTCATTTTTAATAGTTCGCACTGGGGATGCTTGTTTTATTATTTTGTCATCGCACATCGGAGACCGTATTTCGTTGCAGTTTAATTTCAGATTACTTTCTTCTTCACTTACTGATGATTGAGTTGATAAGGTTATACTTGATTCGGGGCTATTACTTTCTCTAGATTTAGATTGTGCCAATTTTACTGGACCATTTTGTAAATTAGTGCTTGAAACATTATTAGACAATATTTTAGATGATGAACTTACTCGTAATCCTTTGTTTTTATTTGTATCATTACTTTGCTCAGAATCTGTGGAACTGACAGATTTACTTCTCTTTTTAACGACCTTCTTCTTGGTAGTTGAATCGGACGATGAGTCTGTGCTTGATTTACGAACTTTATTTTTTTTTACTTTCTGTGGTCCATCCTGTTTAGGAGCTTGAGGTGGCAAATTACTGTTTGTTAAAGTTATTTCAGGTGTACTCAGTTCTGCTGAAGTATCTTTAACTTTCTTAAGCTTTAAATTAACATTTACAACTATATCTGAATTATTACATTCGTTTAGTGAGTTATTATACTCAGGGCTTTCGATTGAGTTGGTTGTTATGTCCTCAGTGTTCTCTATTCTATCAGATTCAAAATGGTTCTCTAGATGTATAGAATGATTTGAATTATCTTTTGATAAAGGTTCTGCACTGATTCGACTATTTTTTTCGTAATTATTGATTGATGAATTTTCCCTCAAATTTGAATATTGTGTTGAATATCTTCCAGCATATCCTGTATAATTATGAGAAGTTGGTGAATAATATGACCAATTCGTGAGACTTGTTCTACTTGTACTACCAAATCTGCTCGATCTTGTAGAATCATCTAATCTGTCCGATTGAATTTCCTTATGAACCATCTCAGGCCTCTTTTTTAAACGAGATATAGTTTTTTCAATTGTTTTTGCTAGTTCAGCTCGTCTACTCCTTACGTATGCTGACGAGCCTGGAGGTGTTGGTGATGTATGACGAGTGACAACATTAATGGTTTCAACCTCGTTATTATTTTCTATATCTTTTACTTCGTCATTTTCTTTTTCTTCATCTGCTTTGCTTTTTGATTTAGTATCTTTTTCGTTTAAAACTGGTTCATGTTGACCATTTTCTATTTTAGCAGAATCATTAACATTTACCGGTGATACTGACGTTCTTTTAACTAGCGTTGGGCTTTTTAAGTAGCTTGTAGATAAACGACTTGCTATTGCGTATCTGTTAACAGTTACTTCTGGTTTAGTTTCAGCCCTTGTTGGAGTTCTGGTGTAACTAGAAGAACGTGGGTACAATTTATAGCTCGACAGGCTACTATAGCCTGCAGACTTATCAGTCTTGCTTGGAATGTCTTTGTCACGATCAGTAGTGATGGCGTCATTTTTCTTTTCTTTTAAACTCTTCGTTGTTCTTCGATCAGGGCTTATGTGCCTTGATGTTCTATTTAAACCATACTTAGCACTTATTGATACTGGACTAACGTCTCTGGTTTTACTAGTAGTCGTTGTAGGAACCGAAAGTTTATTAAAATCTTTTTTGTCATATTTATTAATTTTATCAGCCTTATTGTAGCTTGCGTAGCGACTTGCGACAGTTGAAATTGGTGTCTCTTCTCGTGTAGAACGGTCATTACAGAGGACGGGGATACTAGATGTTTTATATGAAGACGTGGGGCTCATATATTTGGCTGTGACTGTCGTGGGTCTATCTGTGGTAGAATTTGTTCTTCCTGTATCACGGTTCCGGCCATATGTTGTGGGTTCATACTGAAACGTAATAAAAATAATCGTTTATTGTCAGGACGTGTTTTTCCTCGCTATTAAATATTTTACCTTAGAGATTAGAGATTTAATCATATTCAACGAAATATTATTACAAGTATAGAGGTTTGCTCTAAAAATAGAGCGAGGAATGCGTTAATGTAGACAACATAGAGCAAGGGATTTTATTGAATACTTCGCTCTTGAAACAGACTGATTGATCGCGTATTGAATTTAAATATAAATACTAAAATAAATACTTCGTAGATAAAACTTACGCAATTTCTGAAGGACATATTTGAAAGTTTTCATCCAGTATCCATATGCGCCAAAATCGTCCTTTTATATTCTGAAAATATATATTATGTCTTGTTAATTGATGTAACACATAAAAAACTAAATGAATATCTATAAATTTTACTTGAAAGTAAAAACCACGTGCTGAAGATATTTCTAAGATACATATATCAAAGATGAAAACCATCATATATTTGTCTTTAGTTTAATTCTATTATTGTATGATTTATTACAAACTAGCTTTAGCCCGCGACTCCGTCCGCGTGGAATTAAAAAAAAAACAAAGTAAGTAGCCTATGTGCTATTCCAGATTATATTCTACATCTAAGCTGAATTTCATCCAGATATCTTCAGCCCTTCATGCTACAAACTCTAACAAACATCCATCCATCCATCCATCTAAACTTTCGCATTTATAATATTAATATAATTATTTTTGCCGTAGACTTTTTTCATTGAGTAAGTACTTGTAAAATTTGTGTTTTGAAGAAGTAAGTTAAGCTTTACAAAAAAGCAGATTAAAAAGAACTTTGAAAAAATACTGTAGTAAAAAGAAGCACAAAGATAGATTTCTGTTTCTCAAAAACCAGATACTTTTATAAAATGAATATTAATGTTAGTGTTTTAAAGATTATCTGTGGCAATATCATATTGATAACAAGTTATTCCCTGTCTGTATATAACAGTATAAGCTCCATTCATATACGACCTGCGCTCGGTGAAAAAAGTTGTGGATGTTGTGCACCGTCCACTTGTTTTAACGGTAAATAAACAGGTTTGCTATGTTTCACAAAACCTATACTAATATACAATTTATACGTTCATTATTTTCAATAATTAATGCATTTAACTATATGACCATCTATGAAATATGTGGTGATATCAGTGGAAAAAAAATGTAATTCGTTGTTCTGTCAACCAGTTATATGAAAAACGAAAATAAAATCAATCCCACGGGAACCGTATTCTTTACAGAAAAAGTATACTATTATAATAAAGAGTAAACACACACTTCTTTGTTGCCTAAGATGTCAGCAATTACAGCATATTTTTGAATAATTAATTTTTAACAAAAAATCCCTACACTTACGTCATGGTGTAAGCTATATGTTTTCACACCATTAAACTTAGGGGGTAAATATTTTGGATAAAAATCCTAATGTGGGAAAGAGACCTTAAGTTGCTACCAACATCAAGGAAGCAAGGAAGCAAGGTTGCCATGGTTTGTCATCACGTCATGTCATTTTGACATTTTCAATTAATAATTTGACACATGTAAACAATATAATAAAAAAATCATAATTATACGCGGATGAAGTCGCACGGAACCAGCTAGTGGTAAATATGCGCGCTCTCTGTAATGTAGCTCTAATCAAAATTTCATAGTAACCTTTAATTCTAAAGGCATTCGTTCATCTATAATTTAGCATTTAATTTGTACAATGTTAATAAGATAATAGTCTGGGAACAGTATTCTAGAATTGTAATTGGACACTAATCGCTTTTTGCAAAAGCAAGTTGACAATTATTACACGACTGGTTTAAAACGTGAAATTAACAAGGAGACCTATGCGGGGCCTACGATAAATGCCACATAGGTAGTCAAGGACACATAAAGATAATTTTATATTAATTTTCATGAAGATGTTCCCAGTATATTGATTATTGTAATACATATTGATAGAAAACTTATAGTTTTCAACTATTACGTATAAATTTAGAGGGATGTAAGATTCATTAGAGAATTTTTTTCTTCTTTATTATTTTCCTTCAAATATTTACTTTACATAGAAACACTTTTCAGTACAATTAATAAAATACATATGCTAAGTTTATATTTTATTACGGAGTTGCTCGCGAATTTGTCAGCGGGAAATAAAAAAAATGTCTAAGTTATTCACAGATATATTACCTTTCTAACGGTAAAAGAATGATTAAAATAGGCCCATTAGTTTTTGAGTTATTAATACATACATATCTTTCCCCTTTAAATAAATAAAAATAAATAAATAAAATAAAATAAAATCTGATCTTATCACCACTACAACACAATTAGGAATAAAAGAAAAAACACATCAAAGTAATTAAAAAAAATAAACACGTAATTACAGAATATTAGTTAGTATAGATTTATAACAATTTAACACGAGGACTATAAATAGGAGGGCGTTCCTTACACATCTTGTATTTAATTTTATATATATGTAATTTAAAAAATATGCACTATTATAGTTTATTTCAGGCATCAAAATAGAAACGATTTTAATTCAGCGTTTCCGGCCTGACCTATATTGATTGAGTCAATGGACAAAAGATTGATGGCAAGTTGTGTGCTGGTGTCAGTTTTATACAGTTCTAGTTCTTAAAACAATATACATAAGATATAAAGTTATATGTATTGGTATTGGATTATTTTGGTCCACGCTTGATGGCGGCTAGTGCGGTATAGATAAATCACTCTGACAAGTTTTTGGGTAGCTGCAGTGATTGAACTCTGCAGAACACTATTTGTAGTTTTTTTCGGACCACTGACCGTTTTGACATTGTACGGGTCACGAAAATGTATATGGTTTTAAATCTAGATCACTCGTGTGGAATAATAAATACGAAGTCGAAGAAGATATTCCAATAATTTGTAGATCTGTTCTGTCCTTAATGGATTTTGCATTATAAATTAACTAGCTTTCGCCCGCGACTTCGTCGGCGTGGAATTAACAAGAAAAAACAAAAGCGAGTAGTCTGTGTGTTCTTCCAGTTCTGTATGCATAGAAAATTTTATTAAAATCCTCTCAGCCGTTTAGGCTACAAACACTTACTATCCACCCATCCATCCATCTAAACTTTCGAATTTATAATGTTAGTATGATAAGAATTGAGGATTTCTACTGTTTAACACTAATCTAACCTGATTACAAAAAGTTGAACTAAGAGCACACCTTTGACTTAAATATCGCACAACTTTTGTATGATGAATAGCTGTCAAAATGTGTCAAATCGTCGCACATTATATAATACGAGCTGTTGCCCGCGACTTTGTCCGCGTGGTATTAGAAAACATACGAACTACATAAATAACAAAAAGCTACGTATCCCTCGGGAGCCGGACACCTCGGGGATGTAGCTTACCCCATGTATACTCCAGACTTTATTTTACATCTGTGCCAAATTTCAATAAGATACTCGTATGTTGAACAGTTGAAGAATGATCGAGTAAACATTAAAAAACTAAATTAATGAATCCCACAGGAACCATAACTTATCCCGGGACAAAAAGTAGCCTATGTGTTCTTCCAGACTATGCTCTAAACCTGAGCCAAATTTCATGGAGATCCGTTCAGCCGTTTAGGCTACAAACGCTAACAAACATCCATCCATCCATCAATCCATCTAAGCTTTTGCATTTATAATATTAGTAAGATTAGTAAGAAGTAAGATAAGACAAGATCCTTTATGTTTTCATACTTAAGTAAATGCCTGTTCTTAAATTTTTTAACATAACTTTTACTGTAATGTGCTAGTCGCTATTAAGGTAGGTTTCCATTATTTGGAATTTTATCGAATTGCTAATTTCCAGAAAGTCTAAGTCTAATTTACGATGGGTTTACATTAGATTAGAGGAGGACTAAAGATTATGCAACGTGTTAGATGCCAAACGGTGCAAATGGTGCATTACGAACGCAACATCGTAACCAGTGAAAGTGAATTGTCAACTATTTAGTTGCCTTAACCAGGATCTCTGTCTACCACAGTTTGTAAGATCGCTTATTTATATCAGATACTAAATTTGTTCGTGAGAAAACATTGAGATGCTTTCGAATCTTACCGCGGTTTCCGGGACCGCGTTTTAGGAAGCGTGTGCGGTTTTAGGGTTGGCTAATCTTCTAAAAGTTTAGAATTAAGTGTGTCCTCTAATATGAAGTGTTTATGTTTGTATTTTAAGGAATTAGAGAAGAAGGGGTTATTGAATTTGCAACAAAATATTTATGCAAGGTAAGGATTTTCTTGATAGTTTTAAATATTTGTACCAAAACCTGAGTAAACTCGAATGATTACATTGTTTGAAATAAGCATTAAATATTATAGTAAGTAGATATTGTGCTTACATAATAATGAAAAATGGAAACATTCTAATGTATTGGTTTTACTCATTTCAATTACTTGACAGCCCTATTACGTGCGAAGTACTTAATGAAAGTAAATTTATTTTGTTAGGTTGCTTTAATGTTTGACACTGGTACATCCGATAAAAATCATAGAATACATGTCATCTGATGAATCGAAATAGGAAAAAATATATTTAAATGAGTGTGTAATTGTAGAAAAGCGCCGACAACTAAGGAAATCACATTACTCATACTAATATTATATTGTCTCGGTCGAAATCTAGTATAAAGTAAAGGAGTCACCTTTTTATTTTTTAATTGATAAAAAAATAAAGATCGTTAATCTATATCTCACAAATGCAACGGCGAACTGAAACGAAACGATTGTGCGATCACAAAACAATCGCAACCGATCAGTCTGAGATTTATTTCTGTCGAAAGTAACTACATTACGAAAATAAATGGCCTACTCCCAGTTGTTTAAGTGTCAAAGACTTGGGTTCGGAACGGGTTGTTGCCTCGGGCGAAATGGGGTCGCGGTTGCTTCCCGGCTCAGGCACCGCTGCGCTGTCGTTATCCGAAGGTATTGCCAACAGATACTGTTTCTACGAACTGTATGCGCGTATGTACTATAACGGACGCCATCTCCAATTAGCCAGCTTTTAACGAAGCTGATGACCGAGTAATAAGCTATTATCGTTCGGGATAGGAATTATTAAAACAACATTAGTACACCACTAGAGGCAAGAGATTACAGCCTTTCGACATCCATACATCACCTATACATGTTTTTAATGCAAGGAGTATTTAATACGTGGCAAGAAGTGGTAGGTATCCCTTTGTACTTTACGTCATAAGGTTGTGTTTGTCGGGAACATATACTTGAAAACAGCAGCTTCTATTATTAAGTATGTTTAACTGCCCTGCTACTTGTTTGCCCTGTTTAAAT